TAGTTTTTACCAAAGCCGCTACAGGTAAGTGATGTGCACCCTTTAAGGTTGAATTGATTGCCTCAGCCAAGTTGGTCATCATGTGTCCATATCGATATCCATAATTATATTCATTTGTCCACATTTCTTTATCGATGAGGCTGATGTAATCGTATCCTTCCTCGTTTTTCGCCCACAAATCTTGAAGCATTGATTCAAACGTTTGAGGAAGTAGTTCATAACCTGATCAAAAAATGTATAACTTACTAACTTGCTTTCTTTGCAAAATTAAAATGATCGAAAGAAAACAAACTACATCAGTTTCACTTACCCATGCGCACAATTAATTGACGCTCATCATTCTTCTTGTACCTTCCATGATAGTTTGTAGCAATGTGTCGGAGATAATACCTATGTTGGACAAAGGGTGGTTGCCACATTGGACCCAAAGACTCCATTGCTACTTTGATCCCAGCTCCACGATCTGAAATGAAACAGATTTTTTCCCTCGTGAAAACATGCGCACGTAAGTTTCGGAGGAAAAAAGCCCAAGAATCTGTATCTTCTCCTTCAACAAGAGAAAAAGCAACTGGAAGAATGTTGCGATTGCCATCTTGGACAACTGCCAATAATAAAGCTTGCTTGTATTTTTCATACAAGAAAGTCCCATCGATCTGAACCACAGGCTTGCAATATTTGACAGCATTAATGCACTGTGGGTAAGTCCAAAAAACCCGATAGAATTGGCATCGATCGTGAAGAACTCGATCATTATGGTATGCATAGGAGGTTTTGAAGTCCACAATTATCACAGGATTCAACCTCCGCACTAGCCTAAACCAACCTGGAAGTTCGTTGTAAGATGCATCTCATTCGCCATGAAGTTTGACAATGGCATTTTGTTTTGTCAACCAATATTTTTTATAGGAGACAGTATACCCATACTGCGATTGTATAGCTGAAATAAACACACCAATAACTCTATGAGAGCTTGCTTTTACCATGGGCATGATGGCTTGTCATATCACTTCAGAGTCCAAGTTGAGATGATCTTGGTTGACCCCTCCAGCACAACATGTGTGAGGACCGTTGTATACTGTTAGTTCTCATCTGTTGTTTTTCATCTTCCTCTTTGATACATGAACCATCCAATTGCATCCGTTTTCGCGTCGGCACAGTAGCATACATATTTTTCTATCGTAGACTGATCGACTCTCGATTGAATAGAATTACGGATATTGTAATTTTTTATAACCATCATCGCTTCTTCTTTGCTTGGAAACTCCATGCCTAAAGATAACTCACCATTATTTATTGATGAGTAATATCCATAGTTACCGAGATTAGGCATATCCGTAAATTCTAGCCCGTACATTGCACCATAATCAGCTTCATATATGTGCTGGAGGGTCAACTTGTGCCACATTTGAGGGAACTTCATCTACATCATCATCGGAGTTGAATTACGATGATTCTAGGTGAATGAATAGTCCAGTCTTAGCACCATCCGCACTAGGCTCACGAAGCGGTTCTTTTGGTGGAGTTGATGGTTCCTCCATGCTCTCCATATTTAGGACAAAGAACCTACTACGTGGACGTCTTCCCCTTGAACTAGAAGACATATCGACATTGATATCGAAAAAACTCGCAGTTGAATGTCTCCCCCTGAAGCTTGAAGCCATCGTGTCAAATGGAAACTGCACAGATTATTGCGTCGATGGCATCTCTATATTAAGGTCAAAGAAATTTGCAGATGAATGCCTTCCCCTTGAATTGGACGCGATGTTGCCATACGAATTATTCGTGGACCCACCTCGGTACATATCGTAAGGAGTTGCGGATGAATGTCTCCCCATTGAAGTTGATGTGACGACACCATGATGCGGATTTCCCATAGTGGGAGCTTAATGACTGACCCCGAACAACACGCACTTGAACAAACTTTGCATACATCTCAATATCGGCGTCTAAATAATTACTTTGAGAATCAACCATCATTTCAACATCATCATTGTTTGATAGTTCGAACGCTGTATAAGTTAATGGAAATAATGATGTTGGAAATATGTACTGCAACGACGACATTCTTCTACTACTTCCAACATGAACCTTCCTCGAAATCTTCGTTATCAGCTCCTCAAGAGTTATGTTTCTCTTTAATGATATTTTAACACGCTCATTTGATACGAAAACAATGCCGGTTTCATCTTCTTGAATTTCTCCATCATAATAAACAATAGCTGAAAGTCGCGTCATTCTTAGAGTTTAAAAGTGCGACAATATTATATCTGCAAAAAAAACTAAAACAAACCTGCTTAAATAAATAATATATGAACGAAAATATAACACAATAAAATTTTTACACATAAACGTAAATAATTTAAATAATATAATTTTATATTATTACCTGTACCACAAAAATATTTCGACGTATGCTCTCGCTTTCCCCTTGAACTAGCACATAAATTAATTGAAAACAATTAGTATAATATTTTTTCAAATAATCATAATAAACAATAAGTATAATAAAAAAATATTATAACAAAATTACCTTATAACGAAATATCGAACGAACTTCTTAATCAAATATAAGAGGATTGTCGGGTGTTATTTACTGGTTGAAAGGATTGTTGTATTAATTTCTCGGTTGAGAGGGAATTGTGAGAGAGTTTACGGGGAAGGGCTATTTATAGCCGAGAGAGGATGCTTTAAAGCCGAGAAGTTCGGGTAAATTATGCAAGGCGCGATCCCTGCACCTTTATAGTTATTTTTTATTTAATTGTGATTATATTTAAAAATTTACAATTTATAATTTTACGAGATCCAACAATTTTAGTTATAAAAATAAATCATTTTTTATTAACAATATGAAAATCCATATATTTTAAAAAATATTTTCTAAATTTTGTGGAATTATTACTCAAAATTATTGGAAAATACAAAAACAAAATTTTAGACACAATTGATGTAGCAAATGAGATATTTTTTTTATTAATTTAACAGGCTACGTTAGCCCTTAACGATAGTTAAATGTCAATACTTCTTTTTTTATGGAACCCAAAATTTAATACTCATTTTATAACTTTTTTAAAAGCTGAATGACCAAAAAGATCATTTTTATAATAGTTTAATGACTATTTATAAATTTATATCAGTGTATATCAGTGTGTGTCGTGCGCTGTAGACTCATATATATATATATATATATAAAGAGTCTACAGTGCACGTCGTATACCATAATGTATCACTAAAGCAACATACCGAGACACACGACAAATAAATTTGTCCTTATTATGTAAATATTAAAAGTATAAGATTTTTTTAAAAATTAATCATTAATTAAAATTTAGTTTTAGATTTAATATAATTATAATTAAATTATGCTTTTTAATTAAAATAATTATTAATTCAAGTAAATTAATTTGTTTAGGATTAGAATTTGTAAATTGTAGACTCATAATATATATATATATATATATATATGAAGAGTCTACAGTGCACGTCGTATACCATAATGTATCACTAAAACAACATACCGAAACACACAACAAATAAATTTATCCTTATTATGTAAATATTAAAAGTATAAGATTTTTTTAAAAATTAATTATTAATTAAAATTTAGTTTTAGATTTAATATAATTATAATTAAATTATGATTTTTAATTAAAATAATTATTAATTCAAGTAAATTAATTTGTTTAGGATTAGAATTTGTAAATTATTTAAGTTAAAAATGACTATTAATAATAGTCACCGCCGAAAAACTTAACGTCCAATTAATTTTTCGTCGTGTTTTTCGACGAGTTAAGGTCTTCAACGATGACTACTGTTGTTGATGGTCATTCTTAACTTAAATAATTTACAAATTCTAATTCTAACCAAATTAATTTACTTAAATTAATTATTATTTTTAATTAAAAATCATAATTTAATTATATTCTTTAAAAAGTAAAACCAAATTTTAATTATTGATTAATTTTATAAAAATCCTTATATATTTTTTAATATTTATATAATAATGACAATTTTACTTGTGGTGTGTTTCAGTATGTTGCTTTTGTAGTACGTAGCGGCGGAACTTGACGAAAAATTTGAGAGGTCAACTTAAAACTTTAAAAAATTTAAAGGTTTAAATTTAAATTTTTAAAAAAATGTGAAGGGTTTAGTTTTTTTTTCTAAAAAATTAGGGTTGACTAATATTTTTTAAATTTGAAACGCTTAATGAGATTTTTTAAATATTATGAGAGGGTTTATTTAAGAATATTTTTAAAATCTTAAAGTTTAGTACGAACTAAGCCTCCTCCATGGTAAATGAATTGTTGTTATTTTTTGAGAACTTGAGTTCAAACACCGTAGATGCCAAGGGTATGATCGTTCAATATCAAATATTGAAAGTTATATTTGAACAGATACTACCTTGTAGTTACCCATATTAATAAAAAAATTAAAGTTTAACATGAATTTCTAAAAATTTAGGGGCAAATTGAGTTTTTTAAAAAAATTAAGAGTTTAAATTATATTTTTTAATTTTTAGGGGTCATATCCCCCACTAGTTCTTATATTTCACCGCTAGTGATACATTATAATATGTGACATGCTCTATAATTTTTTTGGTTGTAATATGTGACATGGCCCGTAAAATTTTCCTCTCTCGTCGCATGAAAAAGAAAAGAAGAGAAGAGAACGAACCACAAAAACATAGCCTAATATGATAAAAAAAAAATCAGCATTGAAATGAATTGACTCTATTTAAAAATGTTGTCCGTCAATAATGGTTGTCTATTAACACATAAAATAATCATATACTTTATATAATATTATATAAAATGATAATACCCAAGAGTGAATGAAAATGAAAGGATGAGGAATTTTGACGAAGCTCAGTTCCTTGCCCTTCAATGCATCTCTCAACGACGAACCTCAGCTTCGGACTCAGGTTCGGGTGTTGACTTTATATAGATAAGAACGACCTCTCTTCCCTTCTTCATTTTCAATTTTAATCTCTCTCTCTCTCTCACACAACATCTGTTTTTGTTTCTCTCTCTAGAATCTCACTTGAAAAGAAATAGCAGAGTATTCTTTGAGTTTCAAGCTGGCGATCGAAAATCAAGAATCCACTGTCCGTGAAATCAAGCCTAAGAACAGAAGAATCATGGTATTATTCAACAACCTCCTCCAGAAAGATACATCCCTATTTCCTTTTTTTGATATGGGCATTCATTGGAAATGCGTGTTGATGATGTTTAATGTGTTTTGGTTTTCTTGATAGGGAGCTGTTGGACCTGATGAAGAAGACAACACGTGGCCGCCATGGCTGAAACCTTTGTTGAGAGAGCAATTCTTCGTTCAATGCAAGCTTCATATTGATTCTCACAAGAGTGAATGTAATATGTATTGCTTGGATTGTATGAATGGCTCCCTCTGTTCTTGCTGTCTGGCTTATCACAGGGATCATCGTTATATTCAGGTGATCAACCATTGTTTAAATTTACCCCCCTTTTTTTCCCATTTGAAATTTGTTTAAATTTCCTTTCATGGAACGAAGGGAATCTCGTTATTTCATTCCATTTCTGGGTTTTTGCTTCCATTTCCGGGCTTCTGTTCAATTTTCTTTTCCTACACATTTTCTGGGCATCCAAGCCGACATTGACTCAATCTTCAAAGCCACTTTCTGATTTGCTAATGCAATTTACCCTGGTTTAACAGATAAGGAGATCATCTTACCATGATGTAATAAGAGTATCGGAGATACAAAAGTACCTGGACATATCTGGAGTTCAAACGTATGTAATAAACAGTGCTAAGGTTGTCTTCCTCAATGAAAGGCCTCAGCCAAGGCCTGGAAAAGGTGTCATCAACACTTGTGAGGTCTGTGATCGAAACCTTGTGGATTCCTTCCGCTTCTGCTCTCTCGGTTGCAAGGTAAAAAATAATAAATAAATAAATAACTTTTCTTCGTTCATTTTCTTGGTCGCCAAATGGTGTTGTTCGGTAGCCGAAAAACTGTAGGATCTTCAAAGTTCAAAGGGTCAAATTATGATCTTGTTCTTTCAACAAATATCAAATTTTAGATTTTAGTCCCTATACATCTAACTTGATCCTCTGATTATAACAGAGGGTCTAAAATAATGATTTGACCATTTTTGTGCATTGCTGAAGTATGTAAAACTGAAATGCAGATAGTTGGGACATCAAAGAATTTCCAGAAGAAGAAGAGGCAAATGGCAATGGAATTTGACTCTAAGGATTCATACAGCAGCAGTAGCCATGGAAAATCTAACAAGAACCAAGTGAGAAGCTTTAGTCCTTCAACACCCCCTCCGACTTCGGTTAATTACAGAAGTGCCAAGCGTAGAAAGGGTACACCCCACCGAGCCCCAATGGGAGGACTAATCATACAATATTAGCCTTAAATTATAGGGACACACACACAAATATGTATACACACAAAGTGATGGTCACAATGCTACCCCAACTCTTTCACGAAAAAATGGGCATTGTCACAGTCCCCACTCCCCTCCCATTCTCTGGTATCGTGTAAATAGAAGCAGTATAATTTTTTTTAAACACTATAGGTTTTTTGTAAGATAAAAGTAGGGTATTTTTTGTTTGTTTGTTTGCTTTTTCTTGGCTGGGGATAGGGAAATGGATAAAATATGTAAATGTCTCTTTGTTATTTAGGATACGTTTTAAAAATAAAATGATTGTACTTTGTTGTAGGATTTTTTTTTTACATTTTTACCTTTTCTACGTGAATCCTATTAAACTTTTCATTTTTTTATATGCAGATAATATTTTTTTTAATGATTTAGTCTCTATATTACAAATATAATTATTCGAAGTCAAAATCTTAAGGGATAACAGGACTCCATTTAACTACTAAAGTCTCTTTATTTGTTCGAATGTTTATTAAATTTGTTTTGCTTTGTGATGAAAAATAATTAAAAAGATGGGGAAGTCTATGGAACAATGACTTAATTTAAAGTTAAAAAATGGTGAAATTAGGCAAAAAAAAATTGATAAAAATTATAATATTTTAGATTGAATTTAACTTAAAATATTAATTTTTTTAACATTTTTTATTGAATTAAAAATATTATATTTTTCGTAATATTTTAAGTTGACAATCTAAAATATTATGAAGAATATAATATCTTAGGTGTATCCAATCTAAAATATTATTCTTTTTATCATATTTTTTATTATATTTATATTTTCAATCTTAAATTAGCATATGGTACAATAGAACTAACCAAAAAGATGGGTGTAGTTGAAATGTAAATAAAATAAGGTGGCAGCTCGTGCGAGATAAAAATGAAATCGATTTTGATCCATTTGATCAACCCGGTGGCCCCCATATATGCGATTGTGGTGTGGCACGTGTGAGATATGAGTTTATTTTTGGGGATATTTAGTTTCGCACGTGTCCGACGTGCAATGTTTTTTGGTATGGACAGTGGTGTAAACGAGTCGAGTCGACTTCGAGTATTATTGAGTTTACTAGACTCGAAAACTCGCGAGTTTAAAATTTTTAAGCTCGACTCGAACTCGAAATCCTGAACTGAATCTCGTGAGCAGCTCGAAAAGACTCGAAATAAAAAATATCTTAAACTTAACTAGATTGAAGTTTCAAACTTAAACATGAACCATAAATATATGAAAGACTTATTGTATTTTTAAAAAAATCAACACATAAATGTTAATATTATATTTTTATAAATCTAAAAATAATTAATTAAAATCATATATTATAAGATATTTTCGATAACTTAAATTATTTTTCTATTAATATTTGATTAATTAATTGATATATATTAAAAAATATTTTTGATGTTGGAAGGATAAATGGGTGAGCCGCCTCTTGGGGAATTGAAGGTGGATTATTTTGTTTTTGGTGAGAAAGGCTGTCTGAATGCCTGACAAGTGGGTATTTTCTTTTGAGTGGGCCCCTCGAACTGTCATACCAATTCTGATCCTTGGATATCGTAACTGGTGGCTTGGAGCATGGTTTTGATGATTGATATGTGGGCTCTCAAAATTAACTCCAACACACTACAATTTAGTAAATTGAGTGGGACCTCCAAACAATTTGTTGCTTTTTTATGATTTAAGTCAGCAGATGCTGCGTGCTTTTAGTAGGAGGCTACGGTTACATGTTTTTCTTAAACAAAATCTCACTACGGGTGAGTGTTCGATCTAGTATAATTAAAAAATTTAGTTATTTGAGTTAATGAGTTTTATTTTATAATTTGGAGTTAATTTTTTTAAGTCGAGTCAATTTTTTTAGTTTTTATTTATATTTAATTGTAAATATTTATAATATTATAATTTTTTTATTTCAATTTAAATGACTTTCTATAACCATATAAATAATACACACACACACACACACATATATATATATATATATTCCTCTATATTTTTCATATATGATATACATATATTATACAAAATTGAAAGACTCGCCTCAAACTTAAAAATCAGTCCACTAATTGTAACACCCTAAACCCGATCAGACTTAAAATATCACATTGGGCTACCGTAATAACCCCTGATTTCAAAACCTATTCATTATCATTTAAAAACATACTATGTGGTACCAAATAAATAAATGCAACATTTATAAAAATACTTTTATAAAACTGGAGCTCTATGACACATGATTTAAAATAAAAATGGTATAACTTAGAGTTCGATAAACCAAATACATAAGTAAGGTTCTATGAACATATATGCCCACTAAAGCTATGGTATAATACTCCGTCGGAGATGCTGAAAGTCCTGCTACGACCGTGCTCCACTAACGATCCAAACTAATAATATGCGAACGGAAACATTCGAACATTGAGCTTACAAAGCCCAATAATATAATCGCTAATCTAGAACGATATAAGAATCTCATATCATAAGCATGCTAGAAGATAAGTTATTAAGAAACAAATACATGCATAGTTATAATCAAGTGCTACCTACCTAAGGTTCGACAGTTCTACATCTCTAATGTAAGTTTTATGCTTCCTTTACTCTCTGTTAAGGGTCTTGCCATGAGTAAACATATACTAGGTCTCTAACCTCAGTATCATTCTATAATGCATCATTATGCAACACACAACTATAGTACTTAGTATCACAAAGACGTCTGGTATTATCTCACAAACAAAGGTAGGTATCACGGCGTAGTTGGAGGGTCACTTAGCATCCTAGGACTCATACCCCTATATCTTACCAAAGGCACCATAGATAAGACTCGGGTCATGTAACACCCATAACCCTTATACGCGAACCAATATGAGTTATAGATGTCGCATCAGAAATTCAAAATATTTCTTTAATTGAACTGAGTAAAATTTTGTTTCATTCAAACATCTCAAGTTTCATAACTTGAACAATTATATAAAATAATTATTCATATAATATAATATTGTTGGTTACCAATTCAAAACCAGTTTCAAGCAGTGATAGACAATTCTGTTATATTTTCATAAAATAAATAAGAATGTCTAACACGTTTGATTTAAAACCCAAATTAATTTTTGCAAAGCATAGTTTAATATCATAATATTTATCCATACTATTAATTATATTTAATACTAACTATATTAAGAAATTGTAAACATTTCATTCTCGTATACATGCCAGCTAAGACTTTTAGAACACAATACGATGTCATCATTGTTAAATGTAAATATTTCTTGGTGATTGATGCCAAACTCAGCTCCTTACTCATTTTCTTCCGTTTTCCTACGCGTGAAAATCATCACACACTAAGTATACACTTAGTGAGACAATCATATAAATATTCAAAGCAATGCAACATATAATATATAAATGAGTAATAATATTCAATGCAATGTGATCAGTTTACCTGCATTCCAACCATGTTACCATAATTTAACATGATATAACTGGATATAAAGTTTCTTACCAATACACTTTCCATTTATCCCATAAGCCCCTAAGCTTATTTGTCTGTTTATCATTTATTAATCAATAAACCATAGTCCAAATGTAAACCTATGAAGATCATGGGTATTCGAGTCAAATATGCACCAAAGTGTTAATACACATACGGTCGTACCCACTATAATACACATAAGGTCGTGCCCACCATATGCACTTAGTGCCCTTACACACTATAGTGATGCACTAAATGTCCTTACACATTAGTGCTAATCCGATTATGCAGCTGCTAGACTCTATGACATGCCAATTATACCCTGACATTCAATGACTTACTTGGGCATACAGTCTATTTCATTTGATCCATCCATGGCAAAATATATTAACATCATTTAACATTGGGCAGTTCATACTTGAAATATCATTCATGTTAATATCATATATGTTCACGTTAAACATCATATATAACGATCAATGATCAATGCATTTTATATTCAACTTTTGACATATTTAGAATATGTCAAATATATGATATATGACATAAATATCATGCCAATATATATAATGTAGACTTATCGCAAGTTCTACCCAATGATGTATAAAACATCCATGTATAATGTTATATATACATTGCACTCACTTTGACATTATATACAGGTCAAAATGTAAGCCTCACTAAACTTTGACCTGATCATTTGCTTCTAGTTTGGTTAAATCCTAAAATTGGTCATAATTTCATATCCTCACAGTTTGCACTACCTTTAAAGAAATTTTATTCTGTATTAATCTAAACCTTTAAAAATTATTCCATTTATACCACTGGAAACTATACTCAAATACGAATCTATCCATATAAGGAACTACTTCTATTTCAATTTTTACAATTTATGGTGAATTTTCAAGTCGACCGACATAATCTGTTTTGAGCAGAATCTGTTGCCTTGTTTTTTGACCTATCCTCGATTAAAAATTCATATATTTTGGTATACAACTCGAAATCAGTTTTCGTTTTTTCTAAAAAAAACTATACTGGTAAGCTAGTCCAACAATAAAAAATTATCCTCTAATAATTTTTGTAGAATTTATGGTGATTTTATAAACTTACTGTCCAGAACATAAATTCTAAGCAGGTTTCACCAATTTGCATTTTCAACTTGTTCAATAATTCTATTAGCTCACCAAATACACATATATACATGCATCAAAGATAACATAACATTTTAGGAGTCACTCCTTACAATAGTAACTATGTCATTGGCTCATCGCAAGCCAATGTTTGTTCGATAATATAAGTACAAATAAAATTTGCCCTCACTTGGTGTCCTTAGCTTGCAAACTTCGCTTAGAATTTTATATTCCATCCTTAAGCTATTCCTTAGCTTTGATATTGCTTGATCTTGATTTCAAGCACACAATCTAAATAAGCATAATTACATAACATATACAAATTCAAACCCAATGTCAGAATCTTACTAACATAGGAATACTTTGGAAAATAAATTCCTAACAATTTTTCCTAT